CATGCGTGAGCGTGTTAGATAGGGGTGAATGGAGACGAATTGTATTTGGGACCTGACGAGCTGTTGGAGTGTGAGCAGGGTAATATTTAGTGGAGGGATTCAGGGAAACCGGTTATTTTATATAACCGGACTTGAGTCCTGGAAATGGGAAGCACAATGCCTGCGCTCTAAAGGAGGGGTTTAGGATATTGGCAGTTTGGAGGGATATATTGTGTATTTTTATATGTATATACTTCTAAACTATTGTATTCTTGGCACCTCTGCAAAAACAGTGATTATGTGTGAGTGAGGTGAAAGTGTTGAATGATGAAAGTATTTTCTTTTTGGGGATTTTCTTTTTTTTTTTGGGTCACCCTGCCTCGGCGGGAGATGGCCGACTTGTTGAAAAAAATAAAATCTGTAGCTTGGAGATCAAGAGGAGATGCGGGGTTTCTAAAATTACAGTGGACCCCTGCCTTACGATGACATCGCGTTACGTTAAATCCGCCATACGATACATTTGAACACAAAAATTTTGCCTCGCCTCACGCTAAAAAAAACTAGCCTCACGCGATTCATCCGGGACACGTCCCACGTGTGGCCTCAGTGCCAGTGTTTACAAGCCAGCCAGTGCAGTCGCATCCACGCATACATTCGGTACATTTCACCTTATCCCAGCGTTTTTTGTGCTTGTAACTGCAAAATAAGTCACCTTGGGCCCCAAGAAAGCTTCTAGTGCCAACCCTGTGGTAAAATGGGTGAGAATTAGTATGGAAATTAAGAAAGATTTTGAAGGGTTTGGGGCTAACCCTGAGAAGCCTATGCCAGTTGTGGAATCCATTGTGCCTACTTCAAAGATTAAGGAAATGTGTGCAAAGTGGGTTGAGCTGCAAACCTTTATGGATGAAAAGCACCCTAACACAGCTATTGCAAGCTGTGCTGGTGACTATTACAATGACAACATTGTGGCCCGTTTTAGGCAAATCTTAAAGGAACGGGAGGTACAGACCTCTATGGACAGATTTGTTGTCCAACAGAGGTCCAGTGACTCTCAAGCTGGTCCTAGTGGCATTAAAAGAAGAAGGAAAGTAACCCCAGAAAAGGACTTGCTACCTCAAGTCCTGATGGAAGGGGATTCCCCTTCTAAACAATAACTTCCACACACTCCCCTCCTCCCATCCCATCAATCATCATCAGATCTTCAATAAAGGTAAGTGTCATGTATTCTATTCTTAGTAGAGTAGTAATTGTGCATGTCTTCTTCAGTTTGTGTGCATTAAAATTAATATTTCATGTGGTAAATTTTTTTTTTTCATACTTTGGGGTGTCTTGCTCGGATTAATTTGATTTCCATTATTTCTTATGGGGAAAAATAATTCGCCTTACGATAATTTCGGCTTACAATGAGCTCTCAGGAATGGATTAATATCGTAAGGCGGGGGTCCACTGTATTATCCAGAGGGCAAAGAAAGGGTTGTTGAGGTGGTTTGGACATTTAGAGAGGTTGGAATAAAATAGAATGACTTGGAGGGCATATAGAGCTGTAGTGGAAGGAAGGCGGGGTAGGGGTCATCCTAGGAAAGGTTGGAGGGAGGGGGTGAAGGAGGTTTTTGTGTGCATGGGGCTTGGACTTCCAGCAAGCATGTGTGAACATGTTAGATAGGAGTGAGTGGAGATGAATGGTTTTTATGACTTGATTGCTGTTGGAGTGTGAACATAGTAACATTATGAAAGGGATTCAGGGAAACTGGTTAGCCAAACTTGAGTGTTGGAGGTGGGAAGTACAGTGCCTGCACTTTGAAGGAGGGGTGTTATGTTAGTTTTTTTTTTTTTAACTAATGTAAGCATGCCTCTGGCAAGACAGTGTAGAATGAATGAAGATAAAAGTGTTTCTTCTTTCTTAGGTCACCCTGCCTCGGTAGGAAACAGCTGATGTGTTAATAAAAAAAAAGTAATGTGTACTGTATATGTATATGTAGGCCTAGATATTTTGCTAAATATATAATAGTGTAAAGATGTTATAGGATTTTATATGCATTTGAAAGTGAAAAAAAGGCTATGTTTCACTTTACAATGATTTTTGATTTACAGCAGTAACCAGGAACCTAACCTGCTGCACAAGTGGGGGGCTGCCTATACCTGGTATGCCACGAGGAACAAAAGCTATTAACTTGGTTACAGATGATGTAAAAATCTTATACAAAGAAATAAAAAATTTCTAAATCCCGTAAACAAGTGGTAGGTGACACTCCATGAGCATTGGTCTAATCCTGTGTATGTATGTTATCATAAATGAATAATTGTCATGATACCTTCATTTTGCACATACTCATGTATACTGTGCCTTAGAGTTTTATAAGTTGCACTAGCTAAACTAACTCATGCTATTAAAATGTGGAAATTTTAATAAAATGTGAAGTAGATCAGATTACTTCACTCCTGTATTAATGTTGGTGGAATTACTGACAATATGTTAGGTAAAAGGACACAAATGTTGCCACAATAAAATGTCACTTTAGTTGCACTTGTGTCCTTTTACCTAACATACATCACTGCTGTTTCAAGTGAATATTGCAAGTAAAGTAAGATTCTTAGTGTACTGTTTATCAAATATAGTGCACCTCCGACTGATATTACAAATACTCTACCTTTATTTTTTTTTTTTTTCAAAAAGTCGGCCATCTCCCACCGAGGCAGGGTGACCCAAAAAGAAAGAAAATCCCCAAAAAGAAAATACTTTCATCATCATTCAACACTTTCACCTCACTCACACATAATCACTGTTTTTGCAGAGGTGCTCAGAACACAACAGTTTAGAAGCATATACGTATAAAGATACACAACATATCCCTCCAAACTGCTAATAATACCTTTATAACATTTGGTAAATGAGTCTAATTAGAAATTAGGAGCATTTTAACCCTTTGAGGGTCGACAGGCCCTCTCCGAGACTCGTTCTCAGGGTCGGCCAAATTTAAAAAAAAAAAAAAAAAAATTTCTTATGAAAAGATAGAGAATCTTTTCCCGATCATAATGACACCAAAAATATGAAATTTGATGGAAAACTTACGGAATTATGCTCTCGCGAAGTTAGCGGTCTCGGCGATGTTTACAGATCGGCGATTTTGCCCACTTTGAGCCCCATTTTCAGCCAGTTCCACTGTACTAGTTGACAAAAAACATGAATATTTTGCTAGAACTCCATATTTTCTATTGAATGAGTGCAAGAAACCACCCATTTACCAATTTCAACTATCCAGTTCAGTGGTCAGAATTTAGCAATTTTGCCAATTTCACACAAATTTCAAAAGATGCCAATTTCCGAATAGGGTCCAGAACAAACAAGAAATACATTCCTGGCACTAAAATGACATTTCCTCTGTTCATTAGTCACGTCTCAAGGCCCCTCTTATATTCTTTTGCTTTCCACTTTGAATTTTTATTCTCACAAAAAATAGAAGATTTATTGTTATGCAGACTACTGCATTAGTGTAAAAAATGGTATGAATCATATTGGCGCACTTGCAAAAGAATATTAGACTCGCCAGTTGACATGTATTGGATGCTTGGCATGATTTGTTTACTTTTGAACTTTGGTAAAAATCGAACATTTCTGCTACTTTGAGCTCAATTTCAAGGTACTTTTCATTGTAAAACCAGTCAAAATTATCTCAATTTCTATGATATGCCTTCCATTCTATAAAATGAGACCAAGAAAACTAGAATACAACAATAAATACCATACGAAAATACAGTGCAAAGTCACTGTTTTATTCCAAAAAAACGGTCAAAGTTTTTTTTTCTCATTATGCACTGTGGCTGCAGGATTTTTTTTATACCATGCACACTGACCACAGACCCATTCTTTCATATGGAGGCCTACCAGCTTTCTCCCACTAGATTTGAGGGCGCTAGAATTTAGGCGTACTAGTACGTCAAAAACCCTGAGTCGTAAGCCGTACTAGTACGTCCGAAACCCTCAAAGGGTTAATGATAATTTTGTTTGGAATGATAATGCAGTGCCAAATTTGATTTTTTGTTTATAACACACTGGCTGTCTCGCTCCTAGGCAGGGCGACCTGAAAAAAAGAAAATGCATTCTCCATCACTCTGTCTCTGTCTTGCCAGAGGTGTGCAGATACTACAGTTTAGATGCCCATTCAAACAGCAAATATCCCCACCTCTCTTTCAGAGCTCAGGCTCTGTACTTCCTATCTCCAGAACTCTAAGTCCAGCTAAGTGGTTTCTCTGAAACCTTTTGTTAATGTTACCTTGCTCACACTCCAACATGTCAAGTTATAAAAATCACTTGTCTTCACTCAGTCCCATTCAGCATACTCATACATTCCTTCTGAAAGTTCAAGTCCCTTGCCTACAAAACCTCCTTTAACCCCCTCCCTCTAACCTTCTCTCCACAACATATCTTACTTCATCCTCTATAAATGCTCAAACCATCTCAACAACCCTTTCTCCACACATTCAAATCTCCAAACTATGAATTCTCTGCATAATATTTACACCACACATTACCCTCAGACTGATGTGCAGTATTTATTAAAATTCCTGAAGATGTTTTTAATACACTGGTTGTCTCACACTGTGGTAGGGTGACATGAAAAAGAAAAATTCAGCATCATTTACTCCATCACTGTCTTGCCAGAAGCATTCAGACAGTACAGTTCAGATGTCAGGATATAATATGGTAATTGATCTTATTTAATGTGAGAACATTGCATTACAGTCAGTTTGGTAGAATAAAGATGGTGTGCCTTAGCTTGATGTTATCAACAAGGAAACGCTACAGATATTATTATCTTGGAGTTTACTTAGAACTGCTATAAGTGGAAATTTTTGTGTTTCTTTGAATAATTTTGACAGTAGTACTGTATTATAAATCATTTGTTTGATTCTTGTTGTATTAGGTATATGTGTTTGTTTGACTGATTTATTTTTAGATGGGAGAAGCAGCTCTTAAATATATTTTACGTCTCGTGTCTTCCCTTTTGTCTCTCCCCACACAGTCGTGTGAGCCTGGAGGAGGTGTACCGGCGGCACCAGACCGAGGCAGATACTATAATAGATGATTTGGTGGCATGCAAATCAACTATATCCCGGTGCAACTTGGAACGGCATCCATTGACCAGCATCTTCCAGTTTTATCAAGATATCCGTGGGTATGTCACTGACTTAAGAGACTGTCTGAATGAAAAGGTGGGTTCACATGCAACCTTGCAGTCTTACTCTATGGAAATGGAAAGGTTAATGATAGGAGGTGGGTAAGGGTAATTGGATTGTCTTGAACACAGTCCAATGTTCCAAGATGGGAAAAGAAGATTTGTGAGCGATACAGGTTCAAAATGTTCACCTCTCGGTAAGACACTGTGCTTCAACTGGGAACACATATCTTATCAATGTGGGCATAGGTAGGACGCTTCCTGGATGTTTCAAGTTTTTTTTTCATATACCTAGGCAACAATTTGTTGACAGTCTACATACTATTCTGAACAACTGAGTAAGTATTACTGCAGCTGGAGCTCATTATTAAGTCAAGGCTTAATGGAAGTGCCGTATGCAGACATAAAGTTTAAAATCACCTTCCTCCAGGTATAAATATTTATGTAAGTCAAAATCTTTGGCCTTGTTGTGTTCTTTATCCTACTACATCACAATTTCTTCCTTTAACTCTCATGAATGTTAGTTTTTTCTTTGAGTAAAATACATACCAAGTACAATACAGATATAATAGAATTGGAATATTTTGTATTAGGAGAAAAAAGTAAATGTTCATTTGCCGTGTTATGGATCTGCTCTTGTTATGGATCTGCTCTTCAGTACAAGGTAGGTAACAAATAATGCCGTTTCCTTAAGACTAAACTTAGCATAGCTTTTAAAGAAGCAACTTGTCTCTTCTGTAATGTATTAAGAGAAACACCAGTACATAATGCATCAAGAAATTTCTCCCTGGCTGCAGTGACTGATATATAAAAAGATGAAATGCAGTGGAATGATTTTTATACATTTTGTGAACATTTTCACTAAAATTGTAATTTAGTAATTTCTCGCTTAATCTGGAAAATGTGCCTTGTGATTCTGATTATTAAGAAAAAAATAGAAAGCTTTGTTAAATACATTAGTGTGTGAATTAGAGCAAAACTTTTTTTTTTTATTTGGAATATATATTCTTAAAATAAGTACAAATAGAGTATACACCACATGTTTTGTAAGGACAGTGTTTCTGAAATTAGAGCTGTACATGGAAATGTGATTCTTAAAGTGAATAATGTGCCAGAAAATTGGGTTCTTGTTCCATAACTTGAAAAAAGACTGGGATCAAACCCATCATATTTTAGCCAGCCCCTCAAAAAATGTGCCAAAATTCCAAGATGCCCTGGTCTACTGTGCCATCAACACTTCAAACATCAGGTGCCAAGTACCACTGGACATTTCACTCGTGATGCGAGCACATATGTGGTTGTGGAAAGTACAGGACTAATTTCATTCTCCTCGCATTTGGAATACCAGTTTCTTGAGCAGTACACACACAAATGCATCCACGAATGAGTGGTTTTAAGCAAATAATATTGCGACTTGCCAGGCAACAAACTCTCAATATTTTGGCATGCCTCCCGAGAAGCCTGCCAAAATTCCAAGACACCTTAGTTCACTGAGCCATCAGAGGGGAGGATCCAGGATGGTGGATGGTTGTGGGGGGAGGTGGAGACTGGAAGTAGTGTGATGGTGACTGTGTGAGTGGTAGTGGTGGTGACTGTGTGGGTGGTAGTGTGATGGTGACTGTGTGGGTGGTAGTGTGATGGTGACTGTGTGGGTGGTAGTGTGATGGTGACTGTGTGGGTGGTAGTGTGATGGTGACTGTGTGGGTGGTAGTGTGATGATGACTGTGTAGGTGGAGGTTACTGGGTGGGATGGTGTGGGTGAAGGTGTGTGGCCTTGAGAAAACTATAGATACAGGTGGTATGGGTGGGAGAGAGGCATGGGTGAGGTTGCTGAGTGCAAGGCAGGGAATGGAGTAGAGACAATCGGTATGGCGGAGGTATGTAGATGAGGTTTGGTACTAGACACACACTAGAACTGAGGCAAAGGAGGTTGTGCACAGTGCTAGTCACGGCATTATGCTGGGTGAGCGCCCCAGCATAATTTTTTTTTTTTTTTTTTTTTTTTTTTCCAACAAGTCGGTCGTCTCCCACACGGCATTATGCTGGGTGAGCGCCCCAGCATAATTTTTTTTTTTTTTTTTTTTTTTTTTTTTTTTTTCCCAACAAGTCGGTCGTCTCCCACCAAGGCAGGGTGACCCAAAAAAAGAAAGAAAATCCCCAAAAAGAAAATACTTTCATCATCATTCAACACTTTCACCACACTCACACATTATCACTGCTTTTGCAGAGGTGCTCAGAATATAACAGTTTAGAAGCATATACGTATAGAGATACACAACATATCCCTCCAAACTGCCAATATCCCAAACCCCTCCTTTAAAGTGCAGGCATTGTACTTCCCATTTCCAGGACTCAAGTCCGACTATATGAAAATAACCGGTTTCCCTGAATCCCTTCACTAAATATTACCCTGCTCACACTCCAACAGATCGTCAGGTCCCAAGTACCATTCATCTCCATTCACTCCTATCTAACACGCTCATGCACGCTTGCTGGAAGTCCAAGCCCCTCACCCACAAAACCTCCTTTACCCCCTCTTTCCAACCCTTTCGAGGACGACCCCTACCCCTCTTTCCTTCCCCTATAGATTTATATGCTTTCCATGTCATTCTACTTTGATCCATTCTCTCTAAATGACCAAACCACCTCAACAACCCCTCTTCTGCCCTCTGACTAATGCTTTTATTAACTCCACACCTTCTCCTAATTTCCACACTCCGAATTTTCTGCATAATATTTACACCACACATTGCCCTTAGACAGGACATCTCCACTGCCTCCAACCGTCTCCTCGCTGCTGCATTTACCACCCAAGCTTCACATCCATATAAGAGTGTTGGTACTACTATACTTTCATACATTCCCTTCTTTGCCTCCATAGATAACGTTTTTTGACTCCACATATACCTCAACGCACCACTCACCTTTTTTCCCTCATCAATTCTATGATTAACCTCATCCTTCATAAATCCATCCGCCGACACGTCAACTCCCAAGTATCTGAAAACATTCACTTCTTCCATACTCCTCCTCCCCAATTTGATATCCAATTTTTCTTTATCTAAATCATTTGATACCCTCATCACCTTACTCTTTTCTATGTTCACTTTCAACTTTCTACCTTTACACACATTCTCAAACTCATCCACTAACCTTTGCAATTTTTCTTTAGAATCTCCCATAAGCACAGTATCATCAGCAAAAAGTAACTGTGTCAATTCCCATTTTGAATTTGATTCCCCATAATTTAATCCCACCCCTCTCCCGAACACCCTAGCATTTACTTCTTTTACAACCCCATCTATAAATATATTAAACAACCATGGTGACATTACACATCCCTGTCTAAGACCTACTTTTACCGGGAAGTATTCTCCCTCTCTTCTACACACCCTAACCTGAGCCTCACTATCCTCATAAAAGCTCTTTACAGCATTTAGTAACTTACTACCTATTCCATATACTTGCAACTTCTGCCACATTGCTCCTCTATCCACTCTATCATATGCCTTTTCTAAATCCATAAATGCAATAAAACTTCCCTATCTTTATCTAAATACTGTTCACATATATGCTTCAATGTAAACACTTGATCTACACATCCCCTACCCACTCTGAAACCTCCTTGCTCGTCCGCAATTCTACATTCTGTCTTACCTCTAATTCTTTCAATTATAACCCTACCGTATACTTTTCCTGGTATACTCAGTAAACTTATTCCTCTATAATTTTTACAATCTCTTTTGTCCCCTTTCCCTTTATATAAAGGGACTATACATGCTCTCCGCCAATCCCTAGGTACCTTCCCCTCTTTCATACATTTATTAAACAAAAGTACCAACCACTCCAACACTATATCCCCCCTGCTTTTAACATTTCTGTCATGATCCCATCAGTTCCAGCTGCTTTACCCCCTTTCATTCTACGTAATGCCTCACGTACCTCCACCACACTTATATTCTGCTCTTCTTCACTCCTAAAAGATGGTATACCTCCCTGGCCAGTGCATGAAATTACCGCCTCCCTTTCTTCCTTAACATTTAAAAGTTCCTCAAAATATTCTCGCCATCTACCTAATACCTCCCTCTCCCCATCTACTAACTCCCCTACTCTGTTTTTAACTGACAAATCCATACTTTCCCTAGGCTTTCTTAACTTGTTTAACTCACTCCAAAATTTTTTCTTATTTTCATTAAAATTTCTTGACAGTGCCTCTCCCACTCTTTCATCTGCTCTCCTTTTGCACTCTCTCACCACTCTCTTCACCTTTCTTTTACTCTCCATATACTCTGCTCTTCTTATAACACTTCTGCTTTGTAAAAACCTCTCGTAAGCTACCTTTTTCTCTTTTATCACACCCTTTACTTCATCATTCCACCAATCACTCCTCTTTCCTCCTGCCCCCACCCTCCTATAACCACAAACTTCTGCCCCACATTCTAATACTGCATTTTTAAAACTATTCCAACCCTCTTCAACCCCCCCACTACTCATCTTTGCACTAGCCCACCTTTCTGCCAATAGTCATTTACATCTCGCCCGAACTTCCTCCTCCCTTAGTTTATACACTTTCACCCCCCTCTTACTTGTTGTTGCCAACCTTCCTCTTTTCCCATCTACCTCTTACTCTAACTGTAGCTACAACTAAATAATGATCCGATATATCAGTTGCCCCTCTATAAACATGTACATCCTGGAGCCTACCCATCAACCTTTTATCCACCAATACATAATCTAACAAACTACTTTCATTACGTGCTACATCATACCTTGTATATTTATTTATCCTCTTTTCATAAAATATGTATTACTTATTACAAATTTCTTTCTACACATAGCTCAATTAAAGGCTCCCCATTTACAATTTACCCTGGCACCCCAAAATTACCTACTACTCCCTCCATAAATTTTTACTCACTTTAGCATTGAAATCCCCAACCACCATTACTCTCACACTTGATTCAAAACTCCCCACGCATTCACTCAACATTTCCCAGAATCTCTCTCTCTCCTCTACACTTCTCTCTTCTCCAGGTG